TATCAGTGGAAGCTAGATCTAGTTGGCTAACAATAGTCATGATTCAAGGATCACGTTTAAGATCAAACACGCCTATTGTTAACCAAATAGCTTTAGTCTTTCCTGTTTCTATCTGTAATACCATGTCAATCACTTCCCACGTTCTAGTCTCGTAATGATGCCGCATGTTCTATGGACATTCTAATATTTCAACCTTACCTCTGAGTTGAGTCAGAAATGGTTGCGAAACAGAAAGCAAAATGCCTATAATAAATTTCTGACTTAGGCTTGTGTATTTATCCTTGTGCATCAATTTTAGATTACTAAGAATCTTAAAACGTTACTGTGTGCTTTATAAAATTGGGTTCCACATTAAATTCTCCGGTCAGCAGTTTATATAAGTCTAAAATGGTGGAGTTTGATCCATGTTGTCATAAGAATGTTATAAGAGATATCGATTACAACAAGTTAATGAGGTATTGGCCCTGGTATTCTACGCTCATGCCACTTAATCCATTCTGATGACCTTTATCTTTTAACGTAACACATTTCTAATTATTTCAAGGATCTTGCTAAGGCGGTGGCCAAGCAATGCGTTGTTTTCAACTGCTCTGATGGTCTTGACTACCGGGCTATGAGCAAGTTCTTCAAAGGCCTAGCACAGGCCGGTGCTTGGGCCTGCTTTGATGAATTTAATCGAATCGAGCTGGAGGTGTTGTCTGTGGTTGCGCAACAGATCCATTCGATTCAAATGGCCATCACCCAGGGTCTCAAACGCTTTCTATTTGAAGGCACGGAACTAAGTCTGAATCCAACTTGCACCATGTTCATTACTATGAATCCAGGCTATGCTGGGAGGCAAGAGCTGCCTGATAACTTAAAGGTTAGAGCTAATGAGTATTAACCATTGTTATTATGCAAGCTTCACATTAATTGCTATCTAATGTTAGGCTTTGTACAATAAAATTTGAATTAATCCCCAAAAGGAAAGTCAAGATTTAATACTGTCTAGAAATGCATATGCCCTAAAAAGATTTTTCTACATGCAAATGCTGCCATCTAAACACCGAACTTATCTGACATTAAAACTAGAAACTTCTGATATATAATGTGTTTGTAAGTCAGGGCTGAATTTCGAGGGTAATATTTTGTTAAACTGGTCACTGGTAAACTTATAAAAAAAATTTATTATTATTAATTAATTGCGTTATACTCAATAATAATTTGCTTTATAGCTACCTGTAACCAACTATGTATTGCTTTATTCCAATTTCTTATGGTAACATTGGAATATTAGTCACTATGCCCACCTTAGGTTAAGGAGAACCCTTAATTTTTTCATTAGATTATAGTGGGTCATTTATCATCAAAGGTTGTTTCCCTTTGGGCCAGAATGGAGTCTCGGACTTGCCACAGTATCGACGGAATGGAATGGAATCGGTATGAAATTGTTTTATGACGTACAAAACAAACACTTTGCCTCATAAGCTACAGAGGCAAACCCTAAAACCCTACACGACAATGATGAATTCCAAGGCAGATCAAGCCTATAATTTTAGATCGACAAGGGTGCATGTCACTAAAATATTACTGTTACGGAACTTGGCTATATTTCCTATAAGTTCATTTAAATTTATTATACCCGACAAAAATTGAATCGTGAGCAAATCGTAAATTTTGAATTAAATGGCTTAGCACTTATGTTTTGAGTTTATAAGGATTATTTTTAAGAAAACTGTGATATTAATATTTTTTAATTTAGGTTCTCTTTCGTTCGGTTGCAATGATGGTACCTGATTATGCCCTCATTGGTGAAATCTCTCTTTACTCCATGGGTTTTATTGATGCGCGCTCGTGAGTACGACTCCTTTTCCTTTACCGGTTACTGTGTTGAACCATACTTTCGTAAATTGAACATTATACACTTCTATTATTTTAGTGATTATATTTATTTCTTTTCTGTTATTTTTTCATCTTTTCCTACAAATTAAAGATGTATGTAGCTTAGTTTGATTTTAAAAGCTGGATGAAAATTTTGTTTTATAAAAACACAGGATATCATTTAATTAAAGGTATAAATATAGAGAAGATGGTGTGGACTTTTGTGTGGTCGCAGGTTTCTTTCGTTGTATATAAGTTGTTTGACTTCGTTTTCGCAACTTGGTCATATTGGTAGGAAGACGTAGAGAAACGCACCTAGTCCGTAGTCCATTGTATGTATCATCATTTCCAGAGTAGGAACGTGGACGTGGTACATTACCAGACGTTTCTCCGGCATCGTAGTTGGCATCATCAGTGAGTTTCGCCATTCGTAGCACCATATAACAACTCGTCAAAGAGACAAGTGAAGCCCATCCTTAGACCAAACGTGTGTTAAACAGTTAGAGTATCTATTCTTCTGCCCTGGCCTATTCACATTTGTTAACTCTCCTATCACGCCTTCCCTGTCACACATTTTACCGTGCTTATTTTTAATGTAGTTTAGTGTGCTCCTTCGAGCGGCAGTCATGAAGACCATTCACACTCCACACTGTCATTGTCACCCCCTTGACCCTTGTGCTGGGAATGTTGACTAAAGGCTGTCATATTATGATGTAGTCCTTCCGTGGGTCCTATCGAAGTCTCCCTCTTGCCCCGTCGAATCCGTCCGCTATCGCCCTGGTACATGTGTTTCACTCGACCCCTACCCCCCATATGTGCTTATCGAGGTGTAATTAACCCATCCCTACGTCTAGGTGACTAATTCGAGGCTAAAGCCTCGAATTAGTCACCTCGAATTAGCCTCGAATTAGCCTCTTAGTAAGTCTCATGATCTTGCCTTTCCTACATGCAGCACATACCTTGTAAAACCTATTGTCAGCCGACCAACTCCATTCGCCGCCTCGTCTATCCTGTCTCTATCCCTAATGAAATTTATTGTGTGCCAACACACAAACGTGGTTCCACATTTACCTAATCAAAGCCAGCAGTACCAAAACATTTGTGGGTTGGCACACAAGCAACTAGGGCATGGCAAGTCATAGACTTGGTATTAGGAATAGAGAC